AAAAAGGGATACAAGGTGTAACAGTTTCATTTTATGCAAATAGAATAAAATTACTTCAAGCCTTAGTTGTACCCTCCATAGACACTGAGTGGGACAAATTTTTATATTTTAATTTATTATAAAATTTTCCTCACCAATAACATATTGGGTTACATGTTTCTTACATAAACAGAGATTTAACTCTGTTTAATCTTGGACAAGCGCAAATTTAAGAATGAATGTAAACTAAGCAACTGTGAAAGTGTTTTTTAGAGGCAATAGCTAATTTTTAACAGGTGTACTCTTTAACAATAGGCCTAATTCACTTGAAAGATGATGAGTCCCTGCAGGTGCCACAGAGAGCCTGGCTGATGGATCTGAAGTTCTCACTACTTTTTATTCTCACTTACTTTGTATGCTGAAACAAACCACTTTTATACTTTTTACTGTATTTTTCCTTATGAATTCATTTCATGTTTACCAGACCATGTTAGGACCAGGCCCAGATGGAATCTACAGACTTTTCACAGTTTTGCCCTGTTTTTGGTAGGAAAATGTGCATACTTCTGCAAGCATATTAAAGTTTGAATACCCAAAATATGGCTTGTTCAAATTCTGTGTAACTCTACAGAGTTCTATGAGCGCTGTACTTGTGTGGGCCTGGTTATAACCTCAAAAGCTGCTAGTAAGATAAAGAAATGCATGTTTTTATGTGGTAGAGTGTGGGAAACTACTTTCCTCAAATGGAAAGTGAGGGACAACTCATTATAGGAGGAAAGCAAGGACAGAGGAAGCTTGAAGGAAGTGATTTAGCCTCCCACTATTGATCCACTGTGGATAACAGAAGGTCTCATGCTTAAACAGGATTAAGAGCAAGTAAACAGCGGCGTCTTTTAGCAGGCGTCCATGCTTATCTGAGGCATTAGTTTCCCTCTGTTTGCTGCTTAATCCACACTGAGACGGCATGCCGTAGTGTATAAAGGTTGCTGTGTTTCAAGTCAGAGCTGTAAGGAGGGTTCCTGATTCTGAATGAAATAACACATACATACAAATCGAAAGACCATATCCATTCCTGCCAAATTGCAGCCCTTTTTTTCTTCAGGACTGTTATGTATGGAAGAAAAAGAGGAATTGAGTCTCTAGACGGGACTCACACATAGTGAGAATGTTCTGGGAATAAAGCCTTAAGCTTAAACTTCATCTGTCAAGTTTGAAAGATGCTTGTTTTTTATGTTGTTGTTCTTAAACTCGTAGTTCTTGCAAGTGATCTGTAGTGGTCAAGATAGCGTGCTAACTTGTGATTGAGGTGAGTATCACATTAAGTACATTAAAAATAAATGGGGCAGTCTTGTTAAAGTTCATAAACCAAGACCCAGATCTAGATTAAGAGCAAGACCGTGTGTTTATGTTTCCACAGAAATTTTAAGCAGCACTGTCTTCAACATTGATAATTATAAGTAATGTTTCTTGAGCACCAAATCAGCATATTCGAATGATTTCTGAAGGATTTTATGATACTGAAGACTGGATGACTGCTGAAAATTCAGCTTTGCCATCATAAGAATAAATTACATTTTAAAATATATTAAAGGGATAGTTCACCCAAAAATGAAAATGCTGACATTAATTACTCACCCTCATGACGTTCTAAACCCGTAAGTTCCGATCTTCGGAACACATATTAAGATATTTTTGATGAATTCTGAGAGCTTTCTGACCCTCCTATAGACAGCAATGTAATTACCACGATCAAGGTCCAGAAAGGTAACAAGGAGATCGGTAAAATAATCCACATGGCATCAGGGGTTCAACCGTAATTTTACGAAGCTACGATAATACTTTTTGTGTGCAAAAGAAAACAAAAATAACGACTTTATTCAACAATTCGTCTCCTCCGCGTCACCGTGGTGCCATTTTGGAGAGTATCCACTGAACGCAAACAGCGTATGCTATTCTGTGTCACATGCGTCACGCGGATTAGTTTTCTACGTTGTTTACGCTTTGATTTGAACGAAAACAACGAATCCGTGTGACCCAGCTGACACAGAATAGCATATGCTGTTTACGTTCAGTGGATATTCTCCAAAATATAGGAGACGAATTCTTGAATAAAGTCGTTATTTTTGTTTGCTTTGCGTACAAAAAGTATTCTCGTAATTAATGACAGAATTTTCATTTTTGGGTGAACTAACCCTTTAAAACAATTATTACTCTATATCATTAAAATAATTATTACTGATAATTCTCTCATGGAGTGGATTCCTATTGAAGTGACTGGATTTTGATATTTCATATTGTGTGTTTATCAATATTTTTTCTGTACATTGACTCAGTCAATAGATGTCTAATGGAAGAACGTGTCAGCTGTGAATGGCCGTTCCAGTGGCTCTGTGTTAAACATATGGTGAAGAGGCTCAGTTTGCACAGAACTGTGTGTACTCCTCAGTGAGATGTGTCAGAGGTGAGCTGTGTGAATGGGGGTCCCGCTTCCCTCCCTCCTCCTTGCTTGAGAGGCAGTGAGGCAGAACGTTTCCTGGGTTGAGGCTTTGTCTCGGGGTCATGGGCTACGAGGAGGAGAGGGATTCCTATGCACTTAAGTCCTACTGAGAACCAGACAGACACACCAGAAAGGGATGATTGTGTTATTGACCTAGCTGACCGAAAGAGAGAGGAAATGAAAATCTTTGCAGAATTGAATACAAGGAGTTAGATAGAGAGAGTTAAAAGATACAAATAAAGAAAATAAAAGAAAAACTGTCATGTTAAGTGAAGTCAGTTTTAGAAAACGTACAAAATATACCTTGGTATTTCATGGTCTTTGGATAAATATTATTGGACTTCCGTGATTTTATAAGCAGTACCTTCAGAGTACCGCGGTAATACCATGGTTTTGGACACTTGCCATGGTAATGCAGTGATTGTCTGAAGGACATTTGAGTACCATACCAATTTTTATTCAGTTATACCGGTATATTAAATACAGATTTATTTATTTAATAGATGTAAATGTTAATACCATGTCACTGTCACATTATGGTTTTGTAAGTGTGTGTTTTTGTACATGAAGATGGAAACACCGTATATTATTCAAGTACCATGCTAATACCATGTTTTAGGACAAGCTCTATGATAGTTTCATGGTATTCCCTTATAAAAGCATTTACTTTTCCCTTTAATTTACAAAAATACTACTGGGCCAGGTACTAGCATATTGTTTTGGACATGTGCAATGATATCCGATGTATACTGTGGTACTTTGAAATATACCGTGGTACTAATATTAATTCACCATGGTAGTTAATTTTGAATAACGATTTGGCAAACTCTCTAAAAGGCTTCCTCAGTGTTCATTTATTAAAGATGGTGAATCTTTGTTTCGGTTTGAAAGTTGCAGAATTTGGATTCATATCGAATGTTCCAGTTATCCCTCAGGCTGGGATTAGTTTTAATTCTCTTGGTTATTAGTTAACATATTCTCTCTCACAGCTGAAGTGCTCCGATCCTGCCTGTTTGGAAATCCGAGAATGGGATCCAGCAGCTTGTGAATTAGACTCTATAGATATAGTGATTTATTTTTTTTATGAAGAAAATATAGAATTATATAGGATTTCAGTGAATACATTTCTAAAAGCTGTGTGAGAGGTTTGATTCTGTGATAAAGGTGTGGAAATGTTTGATAAAAATATGGCATATAACTCGAGAAAACCATCAGTGCTGCTCAGAAAATGAATCGCTAAACTATTATTTTCAGCATTTGTATGTAAATATATGTGTACACGCATTTGGATATTTGTGTGCACTAATAAGGTGTTTGTGTATTCTCAAGTGTTGCATCACCCAGCTTCTTGTGTTTTTTCTATGAATTTCATCACACCCTTACTACAGTAAGCCTGTGTGTGTGTGTGTGTGTGTGTGTGTGTGTTTGTGCGTGTGTGTGTGTGTTTGTGTGTATGTGTATGGTTTGCATAAGTCGATGTGAATGCCTCAAGCATGGATCCTATCAAAGCTGTCTTTCGTCTGGAAATAACAAATTAACAAATGGGGAATGCTGTGTTTGTTGAGATGAGCACATGGGGAAAAACTCTACAAGCTCTAAGATAAGAGAGACGGTTCACCCAAGGTCAAACACCCTGTTAGCAGTCACGCTAACCAGAACCTTTGTATTGAATTTTTTTTTTTACAAATAATTTATGCAATACACCAACAATAAAAATTATTTGGACATCGTTTGACAATGATTGTGCTTTTGGGACATGTGTTCGTTTAATTTAAGCAAATGATTTGTTTTAATTTATATGTTATATACAGTGCATTTATTTATTTATTATTGTGTCACCCTGTTCTCTATAGATCTGCATCAGTGATGATAAAAAATATGGTAATGGTATATATCAAAGCATCACTGTGTTACATCCATATTACTTTTTTGTAAGAGTAGCAACAATTGCAGTTCTAAGTGCTGTACAAATCCGTTTTAAAATGTTCCTTTATGCGTTCAGCTCGGACCCCACCTGGCCTTGGTTCTCTGCACTAAAAGATTGCTTTGAACCTCTTCTTCCTCATTTCTTTTAGCCCTCATCAGCAGAGTGCTGCTCTTGATTGGTGGCTTCGGCCCTGAAGCTCTCATTCATTTCCTCATATACAGCGCCCACATCATCTTCCAGGGAGGCCCTCGTCTTCAAATTACTTAGCTAGATACATTTCCCCCAGTTCGGTTTGTTTAATGTCCCTGATTAATTAGCAATAGAGCGCTTTCTAATTTATGTTGTTGTTTTGCTGAGTCTAGCTTTGACCCCCGAAAGCAGCGAGAGGCACTACAGATGTTTTGTTCTGTTGTAATGGTTGTTTTGTAATGCTTTGCTCCCTTGGTTTTCAATTTCAATGGATTTGTTATCTCGGTACAGCTTTACTGTTTACAGTGGAGTAGTTTTTGTCTGCTCAGTTATATGCACAATTGCACACACAATAATTGCTAATACCATTTTTAATGTTAATGTTGTTATGTTTGTCTGTTTCAACAGGTCAATGGAAAGGACTTGTCAAAGGCGACGCATGACCAGGCAGTGGAGGCCTTCCGTATGGCTAAAGAGCCCATTATGGTCCAGGTGCTACGCCGGGCTCCCAGGCCCAAACCTACAGGCCCAAGTGGGGAAGCGCAGGTAGTGGAAATCAGCACCCAGACGGACATCACCTTCCAGCATATCATGGCCCTCAGCAAGCTGCCTACGTCCTCCCCGACTGTGAATGTGCTTGAGCAGTACCTGCTGCCAGAGGGGTGAGTGATGGCTCCCTGGACCAATCACAATGCATATCACAGATTTCAGTTATGATTGACACATAACTAGTGAAGATGGTGCTGGCCGAGAGAGTGTTAAATACATATTGAAGATCTAGCAGTTACATGGCATTGCACATAATTCAAAAGTTTCTCTACCAGCCCAACAAAACATTAATATACTTGTCAGACTAACAAAGTTTTGGCCCAGGGCACAAGATGAAATTAAGTTGCTTTCATTTATTTGGATTTACATTTTCCCCTCACACAATATCATATCTCACTGCATGTGTCCTCGGGGGTTTGTCTCTCACACGTTACTGACAGGAACTTTGTAACCAAGAGAGAAGAATTTAATTTATTTCCTTACACACTAAAATTAAGCTTTTTTTAATATGTAATTTCTGCAGATGCTTGTTTATACCTTAAAGGCACAATATGTAAGATTTTTTTATTAAAATATCCAAAAACCACTAGAACAGTGTTATATATTTTGCTGACTTGTGTACTTACATTATCCCAAATGTTTCGAAGAATGTTTAAATCCAGAGAAATAAGCAATTTTAACTAGTGACACAGACAGTGTACATAGTGTCATTGTGTCGCCTGCCAATGACGTCATAACCGCTCGATTTCCGGTTTTGTTTTGTAGAAAACATGGAAACACCAAAGACGCTTTAATATGTTGTGCGTTTTATTAGACCAGTGACGACCACACAGAGTAGCATTATAACAGAACTTTCAAATGTATCTAGTATGATAAAACAGCGCCCACATACTCACGACCGGAAGGAGCGGAAGCGGTCGACTGTGGCATAATAAAAGCTCCGCTGCTTTCGAGCCGTGTGTCACGCTCGTTCAGCAGCCTCGTTTCGCTTCGACGGCTTTCAGCCTCACCCTGCTTCATTCTACTATGTTAATAAATCATTAGCTCATCCATAAACATGATTTCTGCCTGAGTCCCGTCAGATTGCATTGGCTGTGGGGATGAAGACGACAACTCCCATGATTCCACACTCAGTCACGGCGTCATCAAACTACGCCTCAAACTATTTGTTTATTTGGTCTGAAATTGCTATTTTATTAATATGTATTATATTTATTATATTTAAATTTTTATCTGCAGATTTTCAATTTTATTAATAATATGATTTATTGAATATTGCTGTCATTTATCATATAGTTATTCTGTCATAAACAAGAAACGCACATATTCCAGCAGTTATAAGAGTAAAATCCCTCATAAAGCATGTAAGATGCGATGAAATGGGCAGTTCAGCCAAACTGGTAACATTCATAGAACATATTTATTAATCAGACCTCTGATCTACAGTGTTCATTTGTTAAGCATAGTCCCTCTTTAATATTGTTCTTTATGGTAAGATATGGTTTTGTTTTATGTTTTCTAGACACTCTCCTGCTCATGAATACTTCGACCCCAGTGATTTCCTGGAGGGCATGCAGCATGAGATAGAAAGAGAAGAGCTGGAATATGAGGTAATGCCACACAGAATCTCTTTATTCTATCTTCCGTCATCCCTGAAACGTGAATTAAGACATGCTGACGCCAGGCCTGATGCAAGCGGTCTCCACTGATGTTTCGGTGAATTGACCAACCCCACCATCCATAACCTGACACAGGCACTAAAGTGATCAGCTGTACTGACATCAAGTAGCCTTTTTAGCCCTGGTCCCTTGAACAGATGCTATACGGGGATATCATTATTTAATTTTGTCATTGACTTATAAATCGGTGAAGAGATAATGATGGATCTGAGTGTACAATAAGCGTAGACGGATTGCGCTGTAATGATAGTGGTGGGCAGTGAGTCATGAGGGGTCATGAACGAGTCCATAAAGAGATGAAGTTCAGAGACTTATAGCAGCAGATGCTCTGCACGCAGCACTCTTGACGACCTCTCATTGGCCCCCCGAGGGAGGGAGTGAGGGCCCTGCAGACAGAGATCAATGACCAGGATGGGGCCCAACAACTCCACCACCCTCCTGCCTTGTTTACCTTGATTAATACTCTCTTTTGCACTTCAAGGACAAAGGAAAGGGAGTGTTAGATGCTGTGAGGTAGAAATGCACTTAATATGCACTGTTTTCTTACTGTAGCGCAACGTTGGCAGGCATTTTGCAATTATATTATGTAATGAGCTAACCAGCTTATCAAATACTTCCTCAATGTGGTCATGAGCAAATCCATGCTCAGAGAAAGGATCAAGGTCTGAGACATTTATTATGGACAATTACTGCTTAGGTCAATCTCATGAAAACTATCAAGCATGTTATAGTTTGCCCCAAAATCAAAGGAAATTATAAGCAATTATATTTTTTTATTATATTTAAAAACAGTTTAGATTTATGTTTAGGGCCATTAAGTTGTTTTACATTGGGACATTTTTATTTTAATTTAAGCACATTTCCATCACCAATTCTCATTACCACAATACAAAACAAATATTCTCAATTCTCAAATGACAATAATATATTATTTAATCATGTAGTAATGGTTGTACTGCCTTGAATTTATGCTTATTTAAATAAAAAAATGTATCACAAAAATATTATCCAGCACAACTGTCTTCAACTATAACAATAATAAAAATGTTACTTAAGCACCAAATCAGCATAAAAGATTGATTTCTGAAGTTTAACTGTAGACTGAAGGCTGCTGAAAATTCTAATTTGCCATCACAGGAATAAATTATATTTTAAAACTGTTAACAGGTTAAAATAGAAAAAAGTTGTTTTTAATTATTACACAATATTATTATTATTATTATTATTCACATTATTACTTTTTAAACAGACCCTACCATTTTGAATGGTATGTAATATTTGTATGTAATATTTCCTTACCTGAACATGTATTCATGAGGTTCGCCTATTTACATAGACTAAGATTGATGGCAGAGCATTTGTTGGTTGGTTTAGATTACAGCGGGTTTTTGCAGTGAGCTGTTTGATTGCTCAATAACAGCTTCGTTATTATTATTATTCACATTATTACTTTTTAAACAGACCCTACCATTTTGAATGGTATGTAATATTTGTATGTAATATTTCCTTACCTGAACATGTATTCATGAGGTTTTTACATAGACTAAGATTGATGGCAGAGCATTTGTTGGTTGGTTTAGATTACAGCGGGTTTTTGCAGTGAGCTGTTTGATTGCTCAATAACAGCTTCATTCATGGTCTGCTGTGATACCAGCCCTGTGAGAGCTGTGATCTCCATATGTATCTTGTAGATTACAGGTGTTGACAAAAGATGGAAGGAGACTCGGCTCATGTACATGTTTATGGCAGCATGTAGCTCTGTCACAGCACACTTTAAACTGGGCAAATTATTCAAACATGTAGATCAAGGCAACAGATTGTGTACATTGTTATGATTAAGCTGCTGTGTTTACACAGTTTGGCAAGTCGAACTACAAATGACTTATAGTCAGTGCTGTGCATTAAAATATCACACTCTTCTTTCAGGAAGTGGATTTATACAGAACTAATATCCAGGATAAACTGGGGTTAACTGTGTGCTACAGGACCGATGATGAAGATGAGACTGGGATCTATGTCAGTGAGGTGAGTTGTATCACAAAATAGCCATTTTTGTGCATGATAATGTCCTTTGTACGCTCTATAAAACATTTGTGGTTTCAATTATAAATTACAATTTAGATTAATTTAATTTATTGGGCTTGTATTGTTGGTCAACAATTTTCCTCATTGTACAGATTGATCCGAACAGTATTGCTGCAAAAGATGGACGAATTCGAGAGGGAGATCGAATCATCCAGGTTTGCTGCATGTCATTGATGCCATTTGTCTTATTCCATCACATTTAGGCATCTAAACATCTAAACAAATCTCTATTCCACAATTCAGATCAATGGCTTTGAGATCCAGAACCGTGAGGAAGCAGTGGCTCTTTTAACCAGTGAAGAACACCCAAATGTATGCCTGCTATTGGCTCGACCAGAGATACAAGTGAGAGACCCAAGCCACAAACACAGCATTCATGCTGTTCACCAACTTTGAAGGATAGCTGATAGCTTTTCTCCTTTTCTCTCTGGTTATTTTAGCTGGATGAGGGCTGGATGGATGATGACAGAAACGACTACCTGGATGACCTCCACATGGATATGTTAGAGCAACAACACCATCAGGCCATGCAGTTCACAGCAAGCATGCTCCAGCAGGTACAGCAAATTCATCAGAAAGTCACTCGTGGAGTCGTCAGGAGGCATATCAGTCAATCATAGCTCAGCCTGTCATGGCTTGACATCCTACACATCAATCATAATTTCCGAATCCGTCACTGAGCAGGAGGTAAAGCAGTCAAGCCAGGATTTTAGTTTAAAAGAAAGCATGGCAAGTTAGGTCCCATTTGCACCTGGTATTAACATCTGTTTCATGTGATCCGATCTGAAGTGGACTGTGCAATGTACGCATGTTAACAGGGTCCAATGCTTCTTGACAGCTGATTGAACCAATTTGGAGGTGGTCAGATCTCAAATGGCTGCTCTGAAATTGTATTGAATAATTGCTTGCTTTTATAATAGGTATTCATTATGCCAAAGCTAGAAACTTTTAATCTAGTATTAGGCTTTCAAAAACATCCTCCAATAAACTTTGGAAAAGCCTGTACATATATCCGACCCCACACCCTTACACCAATACACCTATACACATGTGAAATTGTGAGCTTGTGAGTGGCCTACCTCTTAATCTAGTTGTCATATAAACCTGGCATTGTATATTAAGGATATTGTTAACTCCTTTTTGTGATGTTCCCTGACTTGTTTTGTGCTAGAAGAAGCTTGAGGAGGATGGAGGTACAACAGACACTGCCACGCTGCTCTCCCACCATCATGAGAAGGACAGTGGAGTGGGCCGCACAGATGACAGCACTCGTAACGATGAGAGTTCTGAGCAGGAGAATCTTGCAGACGACCAGACCAGTGCCTCCACAACGCTGGGCAGCCGGGGCAGGCTCACCTACAGTCAGGACACCTTAGGCAGTGGCGACCTCCCCTTCAGCAGTGAGTCCTTCATTTCTGCAGACTATGCGGACGCAGACTTCTTGGGTGACTTTCCTGCTGACGAATGCGAGCGGTTTCGTGAGCTTTTGGAGCTCAAGTGCCAGATGCGGAGCGTGGGCAGCAGCGGTACCCCAGAGCAGAGCTTGTTCTGGCCCAGTGGTGGTGTAGGTGGCGGACAGGGCAGCGTTGGTGAGGAGGGTGTCGACAAAGAGCTGGAGCTTCTGAATGAGGAGCTCCGCAGCATTGAGCTTGAGTGCCTGAGCATAGTCCAAGCGCATCGCATGCAGCAGTTGCGTGAGCAGTGCCGTGAACAGTCCTGGATGCTCCACAACAGCGGCTTCCGCAACTACAACACAAGTGTGGATGCAAGACGCCATGAGCTAGCGGACATCAGCGAACTCCCAGAGAAGTCCGACAAGGACAGCTCCAGCGCATATAACACGGGTGAAAGTTGCCGTAGCACGCCGCTCACGCTAGAGCTCTCCCCGGACAACTCCTTGCGGCGTGGAAATGAAAATCAAGCGGAGGCAGGGGCGTGTAGTGGCACCTCGGGTGCCAGCAGAATTCTCAAACCTCTGCTGTCTCCCGTCCAAGAAGCTTGCAGCCCTAACAGAGGTTGTCCGACCTTGTCAAAAGAGTCTGAGGCTGGAACCCAGCCTGAAATCCGAGAACGCAAAGCTGGTCGCCATGCCCAGCCCCAGTCACCCTACAAACACGCCCACATCCCGGCCCATGCCCAGCACTACCAAAGCTACATGCAACTGATCCAGCAAAAGTCAGTCGAGTACGCCCAAAGCCAAATGAGCTTAGTCAGCATGTGCCGGGACCCCGTTGCTTCTGCTGACTTGGGACCCAAGATGGAATGGAAAGTGAAGATCCGCAGCGATGGTACGCGTTACATTACCAAGCGGCCTGTCCGGGACAAGCTCCTGAAAGAGCGAGCCCTACGGATCCGAGAGGAGCGCAGCGGGATGACTACAGACGATGATGCCATCAGCGAGATGAAGATGGGACGCTACTGGAGCAAAGAGGAGCGCAAGCAACACGCCGTACGTGCCAAAGAGCAGCGTCAGCGCAGGGAATTTATGAAGCAGAGCCGTATGGACTGTCTGAAGGAGCAAGTGGGCAGCATTGAAGACAAGAAGGAGCTCAATATTATTGAACTGAGTCACAAAAAGATGATGAAGAAGCGGAACAAGAAAATCTTTGACAATTGGATGACTATCCAGGAACTGTTGACCCATGGTACAAAGTCCCCCGATGGGACACGAGTGTACAACTCCCTACTGTCAGTGACCACGGTGTAGGCTCTGTAATGTTCTGTATATAGGACACTACCGATTGGGGTAGACAATCCTGCCTCGTTCAATGCGGCAACATTTGTAAATAAGAAATATGAATGCCTTGTCTGAAGGAATTTTGCCAATTGCCAAGAGAAGCTACAATGAGTCCCTCAAAGATTGAGTAGAATGGATTTATACAAGTGATGAGAACATGTTTTCTTATTTGCTCTGTTCATTTCTATACTGCGCTTGTGGTTTTGAATATTCTATTAAGTAACTGATTCATGACTATTCGGCCTTTTTAAAAGGTTTTGGAAAACAATACAAAGACCATAAAGCATCACAACCATCAGCATTTTTATTTTATTTCAAGTAACTAACAGTCAGCAGTATTGTTCTTTTTATGCATACATATTGCTTATTAAAGTAACAGATATTTAGCTTAATGGTCATCACACAGATGCTATTATATACTTTTCAGACAGGGTAAAATAACTTTGCTTTACAAATTTTAAAGAAAAGGTGCTGTTTTTCCTAAAGTTCATGTTTCACACTGCTACTGTTATGTTAGACATGCATCAAAGCGCAGCCATTTATTGAAATCTAAATCTCTTTGTATTGTTGTTGATATTAATGTCTGTTTTAGACAAAAGCCTTTTGTATAGGTCTCCATTGTATTACTGCAAGATAATACAGTTTAACAAATCATTAGTTAGAAATGCAATTTGATGTCTTGTAAAATGAGAGAAATAATAAATTATTGTTTTATATTTGATGAGCTTTCAAAATATTTTGGTGAGCTTTTTTATGTTCAGTATATTTTTACTAAAAAGAAGTTTCAGTTTGCAACCGCAGTAGGTAGGGAATTTCTTCAAACCAATTTAAAAGCATAAAGGGTTCTGCGGATATGTGTTTATGTATCTGTTCGTGTCTAAGTCTGTTAGTGGGTTGTGTGTGGTGTCCACACTTCAGTGACCACTCGACCTCAGGGCCACTGACCCAGCCAGGCCCCTGTTTCTTCTTATCTGTCCCCAGCTGTGTGTAGCTCTGAAACATAGAGCTCAGGTCAGTGAACAGACCTCCATCTCATTACAATCACACTGAAAAGTCTGCAATGCCACAGCTGCAATGAGCAGCGCAGCCAGTTGCATGCAGAAAAGACTTCTGTTCCCAGCACAGTATTATTCTGGCAAACTGAACATTTTTGCATTTAATAACCAAATATCAAATCAAGTGCAAACAAATGATGCTAGAACTTTTCTCAAATTTTTGCAGTTTGTTTTAACCAACTGGTGTTTTTTAGTGGATGAATCACAGGTTTCTTAGCAGAGTTGCAGTTCATTATATGAACAAGGTTTTGATACAACCAGAAATTGTCCAAATAGTCTTTTAGTTACCTCTCCATTTATGTAGCAAATCTATTTCTCTGAAATATTTAACTTGAAGGTTACTTCCATGCTTTCTTTACTATCTAAAAACTTTGTCAGTACGAATGCAATCATTTCCCAAATACTTATTTCACACCTTGTTGACACCTCAAAAAAGAAACATCCACAGTTAGGGGGTATAAAGTACCAAAGCCACTTATTTGACTCTTTCTATATAAAACTTTTGGTTAAAAAAAGCAATACCATTGTGTAGCATTGTACAAACATTAAGGGGATAATTATGTTAATAAGGGAGGAGAGGGAACATGTCCTCCTGTCACCCTCCTCCTCTCTGTCTGCTTTTATGTAATTGATTGCTTTTCTGCTTGCCTAAAGGAGGACTGTTTGCGTGATTTATGTCCACAGAGATCTCTTCACACACTCTTTTAATAGGAGATAACAGAGTTCCATGCAAAGGCAAACAAAAAGAAGCAACAGCAATCAATTCTGAGTTGTTCCCTTTCTGGGCCAGGAAGAGAGGAGAAGTGGAGATTGCTTTGATCACACTCTCTGGTTTATTTTTATATTGGTAATGAATGAAGGTGGGCAGCGTGTGATACGGCCGGCCGTATGATCCAGTGTTAGTTTTGGAGCTCCCCTCATTTGTCTAAATGCCAAAATGTATGAGTTTTACGCTCTTCAGATCATGTATTGCAAGCGCAAGAGATAAGTGTTCTGATTGGCTGTTTTATGTGAAATGTGAAAACGTACTGATTGTTAATTAACTTAAGCCTACTCATTTTTTTATTTGCTATAGGCAACTGCACTTTGTTTCTTGTAGTGTGTTGTTAATTATGTGATATTTGCAAGCTTAAAATACTTAGTGTGCAAATACCATAAATTGTATTGAACAACATCATTTATAACACTGCATTGATTCCTGCAGGAGCAGTCAGCTTGATTACTAAAGATCAGATTACATTCATGTGCTGTGTATGATTGCAATCTCTTCCTTCAGCCATTTGCATGATGACCTGTCATTAAGTCGCGTATGTTGCATTTTAGTGTTGCAAACAGCATAAACTGAATTCAATCTCCCAACAAGCTGCTATAAATACAGTCTGGTTCAGGTTTGATTTGAAATTTTACTATGATAATATGGGAAACCAGGTTGCCTTCATCCTAAATATTAATTTCATCAAAACAGCACAACGGGGTTGTTCTTACCATTTACTTTAAGATGTATATGTATGTCAGAATACCAGTGCAGAGACTGTAAAATTGGGGTAATATGATCATATTTTCTTGACCTGGTAAAGAAATACCAGAATATAAAACATGCATGCTTGTAAATACAAGCTGCAATACTGACTGTATACATTTCTCATATTACGCCGGTGAAATGGCATCAGACAGAACAATGACTGATAGCAGGAAAGTAGACTCCCATCTGATCATCCACCATAAAAAACTCCCACAGACCCTCCAACATAAAGACGTCAGAGAGAACGTGAAGAATGCCCCCAGTTCAATTAAAACTCCTCTGTCAGGCTGTCCGTTTCCCAGACCCATTAATAGTGAATAGTGACATCTCATTATTTTTAAGATGGTGTAGTTTATAAAAAAGCTGACTGTCAATGCACTGAAACACTTCAATCAGTTGAGAAGTGGGACAGAGTTTATGTGTGCTGAACTACATAACATATAGGACTGCAGTGCATAGGCATGTAAGACTCCCAATTTCACAGTCTCAATTCAGAGGAACGTAGAATAATACCAGATCACACAGTCAGTTTTCTCTTTGGAGTATTTTTGATGTGAGCACCCATTCTTCCATAGTTTTAATAGATTTTTAAAAACAGATTTCTGTTTTGTTGAGCAAAGGAGATGGAAAACAAAAAATTTTATTTGTTCAAAACACTAAAAAGTCTCTTTAGAAAGCAAATACTTTTAGATTTTCTTTAAGAGCATGTCAGTAATTAATGATAAATTTATTAAAATGAACAAATTGAAAAGGAATCTAAAATTAGTTTTGTTCATCCAAGGTGCATGTAGAAAAAAACATAGTATTGTACAATTACAATAGAATATATAACATTTCAATTTACAGCACTTTGGAATCAAAACATAAAAAATCCAGTGCAGAGACTGTAAAATTGGGGTAATATGATCATATTTTCTTGACCTGGTAAGGAAATACCAGAATATAAAACATGCATGCTTGTAAATACAAGCTGCAATACTGACTGTATACATTTCTCATATTACGCCGGTGAAATGGTATCAGACAGAACAATGACTGATAGCAGGAAAGTAGACTCCCATCTGATCATCCACCATAAAAAACTCCCACAGACCCTCCAACATAAAGACGTCAGAGAGAACGTGAAGAATGCCCCCAGTTCAATTAAAACTCCTCTGTCAGGCTGTCCGTTTCCCAGACCCATTAATAGTGAATAGTGACATCTCATTATTTTTAAGATGGTGTAGTTTATAAAAAAGCTGACTGTCAATGCACTGAAACACTTCAATCAGTTGAGAAGTGGGACAGAGTTTATGTGTGCTGAACTACATAACATATAGGACTGCAGTGCATAGGCATGTAAGACTCCCAATTTCACAGTCTCAATTCAGAGGAACGTAGAATAATACCAGATCACACAGTCAGTTTTCTCTTTGGAGTATTTTTGATGTGAGCACCCATTCTTCCATAGTTTTAATAGATTTTTAAAAACAGATTTCTGTTTTGTTGAGCAAAGGAGATGGAAAACAAAAAATTTTATTTGTTCAAAACACTAAAAAGTCTCTTTAGAAAGCAAATACTTTTAGATTTTCTTTAAGAGCATGTCAGTAATTAATGATAAATTTATTAAAATGAACAAATTGAAAAGGAATCTAAAATTAGTTTTGTTCATCCAAGGTGCATGTAGAAAAAAACATAGTATTGTACAATTACAATAGAATATATAACATTTCAATTTACAGCACTTTGGAATCAAAACATAAAAAATTCAAAAACAGCCATTATGCTTTCTTTATTCATCCTTTTGTAGATTGGGTTTTATGTTGAAAAGGTAAATCATTGCTATTAATAGTGTTCATCGTCTGTTTTATTACGTCTTAAATTGATTTTTCCGTACATTTCTGCCATATGTACATTAACTGAAAGTCACCACTGATAAGCTACCACTAAATATTGTAGAAACTTAAGTTGCTTTGCAATGATTTGTATCGTGAAAAGCGCTGTACAAATAAACTTGACTTGACTTGACTTAAATCACCATCTTGTTCAGACAAAAGTCATTTAAACGCACCTGAAGTCATACATACTACTTCACAACTTATTAATGTCCCTGAAGGACTTGAACACACCATATGATTCGATTCTGGTCTCTGGTTATGATACAAATGTTTTGTAGAACTGTAGAAATCTTTCAATCTTCCAACACAGAGCGGTCACTGTCCCACCAGCTGAAAAAAAGCCCATACTTCAGTCACTGACCTTTTCCTTATCCTCACATCTCTCATTAAGATTACACTGTTATCTTTCAGGCTCAGGGCAGCAGTTGCATTTGGACCAGTGAATTGAACAGTGGGAATGAAGTGTGGAAAACAGCTGCACAGCCACACCGTTTCCCAGACCCATTAATAGTGAATAGTGACATCTCATTATTTTTAAGATGGTGTAGTTTATAAAAAAGCTGACTGTCAATGCACTGAAACACTTCAATCAGTTGAGAAGTGGGACAGAGTTTATGTGTGCTGAACTGCATAACATATAGGACTGCAGTGCATAGGCATGTAAGACTCCCAATTTCACAGTCTCAATTCAGAGGAACGTAGAATAATACCAGATCACACAGTCAGTTTTCTCTTTGGAGTATTTTTGATGTGAGCACCCATTCTTCCATAGTTTTAATAGATTTCTAAAAACAGATTTCTGTTTTGTTGAGCAAAGGAGATGGAAAACAAAAATGTTTATTTGTTCAAAACACTAAAAAGTCTCTTTAGAAAGCAAATACTTTTAGATTTTCTTTAAGAGCATGTCAGTAATTAATGATAAATTTGTTAAAATGAACAAATTGAAAAGGAATCTAAAATTAGTTTTGTTCATCCAAGGTGCATGTAGAAAAAAACATAGTATTGTACAATTACAATAGAATATATAACATTTCAATTTACAGCACTTTGGAATCAAAACATAAAAAAATCAAAAACAGCCATTATGCTTTCTTTATTCATCCTTTTGTAGATTGGGTTTTATGTTGAAAAGGTAAATCATTGCTATTAATAGTGTTCAT